GAAGTATTGTTACAGCAATGTTCATCACAGGTATATTTACAACATTAATACACTAAAAACAACATAAATATCTAAAAGAATAATGCTGGTCAAATGATTTTATAGTATGGATTTATGATAGAATACTATGCAATCATTAAAATCATATGCCAAAAATATCTAATGGTGTAAAAAGATGTCTCAAAACAGTATGACAAGTGAAATTCTTTTTGGGGATAAATGCTTAGAAAAAATATGTATTTAAAGATTAGAAAAATGTAATGAAACAGAAAAAGGTATTGCTGGATAGTAGAATTAATAGTAGATTCACTTTTCCTTTTGGTTATCCACATTTTCTAAATTTTAAATTTCTTTTGTAATAAGAAAAATTAAAGGTATTTTAAATATACTAGTTTACAGAAAGAGAACTGGAATAATCAAATGGGAAGACATGTAGAGTAAAAGTTGTTTTATCTCTTCTCTATAAAGCTCATTAAATTGCTTCTTTCAGTTAAAAAAAATAGACACAGAAGATTTGCAATGGCAACTTTATCTAAGTCTTACTTTTATAAGAGTGAAGTGATACTTATTTTAAACAAGCACATGATTCCATCTAGCATATTTAACATGAATACAAATCCAGGAATTTTTTTAAAACCACTCTATATCATATATATTGGATCCCAGAAGAAATGTTTAAAAATTTGTCATTGTGTCCCATTCCTGAAGTAAGAAGCAAATACATGCTGATAAGCATAATGACATCAAAACAATTGAGCCCAAACTCAGGAGGAAAATGGATAAGTCATCTAAGCTTTCTTTAGTACACACTACCCAATTCGTATCTTATGGATATTACCTTTCTGTTCAAAGACATGTGTTTTTATTCAATTCCAATTGGGTTCCATTTATCTATAGTAAAGATCAACCCTTCCTCAGAAGTCAGGTGCTTAAACGTTTTTCAAAGCCACCAATAAATTTGGTGTTCACTCTCCCAAGACTAAACCAGGAAGAAGCTGAATCCCTGAATAGACCAATAGCAGGCTCTGAAATTGAGACAATAATTAATAGCCTACCAACCAAAAAAAGTCCAGGACCAGATGGTTTCACAGCTGAATTCTACCAGAGGTACAAGGAGCAGCTGGTACCATTCCTTCTGAAACTATTTCAATCAATAGAAAA